GAAGCCAGCCGACACAGCGCTGCCGTCGACGTTTTCAGCGCAGTCGCGCGGCTCTACGCCTCTTTCCTCAGCACGCCCGCGGGCGCGCCGCAACTGCACTGCCAAGGCTTTCCGCCGCTCGCCGCCGCCGAACCCGAGCAACTCGAGGCGCTCCTCGCCGAGTTCGTCGCCAAACTCTTCGAGTTCGGCCTCGAACCTCTCGCACTCGCGCAACTCGCGCGAACCTTCGACAAGCCGCTGACCACCAAAATCNTCCCGGCACTTGTGCAAATCTGCAGCGCCACGCTCGAGCTACTCGAGGCGAAGTGCAGCGGCGTCGCCGCCCTGCTCCAGACAAAGATCAAGCAGCATGCGCTCGCAGCTTACTCGTCCGCGTCCTACGATTCCGCTCTCTCCTTTATCCGCAACGCGCTCGGCTCCGCAGACGCGTACGAACTGCTCACAAACTCGTGAAGCGCAGACGCGACTGCCCAGCAGCTATCAGCAAAGTCTGATTGAGCGACGCAGCTACTGCTGCCCACCGCAGCCTAGCGCAACTCCCGCGGTCGGCTTCCGGCGCGTAACTGCGCTGGCGCACTTCCAATGTCAATGATACTTCCACATCGCTCTACGTCCAAATAGATTAGTTAGCCGGCAAACTGCGTAATCCACGCGAAGTCGCTGCGTTCCAAGCTGATGTCGTCGCCGCGCGGCCGGTCCGCGAGGCTCGCGTCGCCGATGTAGCTGCCCGCAGAGTTCTGCAACCGGCCGTGCCGTCTGCGGTGCCTCCACACGTCCGGCGAGCAAATGCCCGGCAGGTCCTCGATGTTCCGCCGGTACAGCAACCGCCCCAGAATCTTGTTCAGATCGTCGTGCTTGCCGAGCACGTAGCTCCGCGGGTCGTTGTATATTCCCGCCAGCACGCCGCGCTCGTGGTACGCCATCGCCAACTTGCTCAACAACGCGTCCTTGCGCGCGCCAGACGCCACGGCGCCCTTCAACGCCAGCTTCCGCAGCGCGCCCACGTCCGACTTCCGCGTCGGGTTCTGCTCCAGCAAGTGGCGGTAGTGAAACCAGTCCTCGCTACGCCAACCCGGCGGAAACCAGCCTCTGTGCGCGTAGCACACCCACTCCGGCCTGATGCCCGGCGGCACGATGAAGCTCTTCGGGTGCGCTACATCGGGCAGCAGGCCGCCGTCGTCGAAATACTTCAGCACGAACTTGGTTACGATCGGGCAGCGGTTGCAAATGTAGTCGACGCAATCCCAAAGAAATTTTGAAGCGTCGATGTCCGGCCGCAGCGGCATGCGCGATAACGCGTGAGCTATCCCGTTGAACAACTCCACGTCGCGCTCCACGATTTCCTTGCCCTCCACAAGCAGCAACGAGCCGTTTTCCGCAAAATTGAACCACTCCTCTTCCTCCACTTTGCTCACAGGATAGTGAAGCTGATCCAGTGCAACGCTCTGCGTCTCCTCGTTCAGCAACTTCACCGCGTTCCTCCAGCGCGCCTGGTCCACGTGCGAAACCAACAACTTGGGAGACGCCAGGTTGTACAGAAACTGATACTTTGTCAGTTCTTCGTAAGAGTACAATCCAGGGAGCGTCAGCCACAGCAGCAGCCTCGTCAGCACGTCTCGGTTCTCAGGCCGCACTAAAGCTTTGAAAAAGCAGTCCGGTACCTTCGCGCTGCCCACTCTCCAGTCCGAATCTCGAATCAGGAACACTGTGAGAGGCCCTGTATACTGCTTCCAGCCGTCGAACATTCCCGAATGCATCACGAGGTGGTACAGCTTGCTGTAGTCCGGTCGAGCCGCGAGGTACTCAAGCAGAGTCGGTTTATGCGCGTGAAACGCGGTCGGGAGAGGGCGCTCCAGCTTGTAGATAAACCCCGACTTACACTCAACTACCTGCGTAACCCGGATGCCGTTAACAAACAAATTCAACTCCGCGTCCGAAGAAACGTCCGCTTCTGCCGCGCTGCCTCGTTCAAGAGCTCCCGATTTGCCAGGCGGTACCAGCGTGTGTGTGATTTTAAGCGGCAGACCTTTCATCTCGGTGTTCAACTCGAGCTCGGTTTTCGCAGCCAGCTTTTCAGGCGACAAGATGCGCTTAACCACCCCGTGAAGCACGATAGATTCGATATCCTTCATCACTTTCGCCTTCATGACCTCCGGGTCATTCACGAGGTTCGGCAACTGAAAGTACAGGTGCGAGTCGTCGAATTCCGCCGGCGTCTCCTGCGGAACTTTGCTTGCAATCAAATCTTCAAAGTCGATCGGAAGCTGTTTGAGCGACACGTCCGTAGGCAGAAATAGGGTGACGCCTAACGATCGCAGAAGACCGTACTTTGAGTTCTTTCTGACCAGCAAATTCAATATGCGCATGTCTGATTGCGTTTTTAGCGCTTCGAACGGCTTCAACCCTTCCGCTTTGAGTAATTCGAACCCGTATTTCGTCTCGCGCTCCGCGGTCTTTGCAGCAGGCTTTACTTCGATTTCGGCTCCATTTTGGTGATCGTGTGATGGTTTTTCTGAATGGTCGTCTTTCCGTCTCGGCAGATTCTCGTTACGCAGGATATGTGCTTCACAACTTGCGTGTGGTCCGCATGTTCTATTCTCTGGATCGATCGCTGAGTGGTGGTTTTCGCCGTCTGGGGTGCCGATTCGCCTTTCGAAGCACCCTGGCCCGATTGATTTCCTGAGTTGCTGCTTTTCCTTTTCGACATTGTCACTGTGTGAAACCGTGTTTGCGATAAAACGCGTAGTGTGCGATTTTTGTGTTTCAACACAATTCCTGCAGCGCTCCTTCACAGTCGTAACGTTTTTATCCTTCGCGCCCACAGCTTCGCTTTCCAATGTCACAGTATAATTCAAATCTTTCGCACCGCGCCGACTCTGAGAGTGTGCGTAATCTGAGCCCAAACTTTGCGTCGCCGATACTGCTTGAACTGTGCCTTGTGTGATTTTCTCGGTGTTTCGTGTCAACTTTACGCGTTTTGCAGCTGTCCTGGGATCTACCGCAAACGTCTTCAAACGTGATTCGCTTTCAACTGCAACTTTCTCAGCAGAGTTAGCTAAACTCAAATAAAGTGCAGTTGTCGGCATACTCTTGTGCGCTGACGATGCCGCACTGTCGGCGCCAACTTTGCTTTTCGGAACGGTATGTTCTGCAACACTAGGATCTCGCTGTATCTCAGCAACGCGCGTGCCTCGAGCTAGCGTATGGCCTGAAGTCGAGCTTCCAAGCAACTTCGCAGAAGACTCAAGATTAAACGTATTGACGCTGCGCTCGGTCTTTAGAGCTACTGTCACCTCATTGATGCTCGGCTGCGCGCCACCACGCTTCGCATCGCTGTTATGTGTACGATTTGCGATGGCCTCATTCCGCAACTGATGCTCCTTCGGTTCCAATTCAGCAGTCATTTCTTGCTTAGAAACTCGCGTAGCACTAATTGCGTGAACGGGCTGCGTCGTGTAGTCGGTGTCTGCGCTCGCAAAACGAGTGATGTGCCTCTCCTGCAAAGGTTTAACTCGACTCATTGGCTTAGGACTCTTTTCGATCGGTGCGCCAGCGCGCGGCTCGGCAAGCGAGCCCGCCAACTGTGGCTCTGTAACCGAAGAGGGCTTTCCAGAGTTTTCGCTGAACGCTGCAACAGCAGTTGGTAATGCACTTATCTCGACATATTCCGTCGCCTGATGCCGGCCATCATTCTGCTGAGCGTGAGGTGCGCCCGCAAACAGCAGACCTTTGTTAGAAAACGGCGTTGGCTTCGGCAAGCCATCGTTCGCCAATGTAACTGGGTCTGCAGCTTCTGCTTCTTCCTCCAGGCATTTGCCATGTGCATCGCCGCTGCACGTGGTTAGCGAAGCGACTGTGTCTCGCGCCAGCGGCTGAAAGCTCGCAACAGCTTGTATGAACAGGGCAGCTAAAAAATGCTGCATCGTGCCGCGCACACATGCATTGAGTGTCTACGAGTCGAACGCAATTATTAGCATTAACACAGGAAAACTTCGGGGCTGTAAGGCGCCGACGCAGCGCACACACCGAAAAAGCTAGCGCAGCTTCCGCTTCTTTATCTTCTGCATCAAGTACTTTTCGATTTTCTGCATGTACGTGATGCGGTTCATATGCGGCCAAGTTCTGCGTTCGCCTTTCCTGATCACTTCTTTTAAATTCCTCCTGTCAGGGTTGCTCATCATTTGAAAAATATTCCATGACTCGCTCGGCGTGAGCGTGACATGCCCGTCCATCTTCTGCGTGAGAAACGGCGCAATGTCGAACCCACGTAGCGTGACATGCGACTTAAGTCTCACCACTTTGTTGTACGCAACTGAAAAATCGTACACAATGTAGTTCCACACCGTGTTAAACAGCGCCACCAGCCGCGACTGCTGGAAAAGCACGTCGTTCTCGTACCAAATCAATGGTAATATGTGCGGGTTGACCTGGCTGACAATGAACGACCTCACGTTAAAGGTGGTTTGCAGCTCGCGCGACGGAATGTCCTGCACGATACTGCCGTCGAGAAACGTCATGTTCGCCGGCCCGTAGCGTCGCAACTTGCGCAGCGGAAAGGAGCCGCTAAGCGCAGCATGCGCCAAAGGCGTCTTCTTGACAGAGTCGCACTCCGGCTCCGCTTCGTCAATCGTCGAAAAGTGGCACTCGACCTCGTGCGCGCCGAAGACGTCCCCGTCAAACGCGTACAGCTCGGCATCTTTGTTCCGCATGCTGTGGGTCTCAGTAGAACAAGCGCCTGGAGAGTCGTAGTCGTACCGGTTCCAGTCGCGGCTCGCGATACATTCTTCATACAGCTCGGATTCCAGCGCGGCTGAAGGCATCAGCAACGTGGCACGGCTTCGCTTCGCGGACGCGTCTGCAGAAAATTCGAGGCGTTGCACTGCGTCCGCAGAGCGGGATGATTGCGAAGGCTCTGTGCAGCTCAACACGCAACCAAAGTCTGCGTCAAGCCGTTCCGCAACTGCGCGGAGCGCCGCAGCAGTCTGATTCTCATTCTCCTTGTCGTTGCTGCGACGCTTGATTACCGGCGAGTCAGAGTCACTGCAGGTGTCGCTGCACGCCGAGCGCAACTGCGCAGCCGGAGAGCTTCCGTCGGCAGCAAAACTCAGCAAACCGCAGGAGGGCTCGGCGCCTTCTTCGCGCTGCTCAACCGGACTGAGGCAGGAAGACGAAAGCGTGAACAACGCGCTGGGTGGCATTATCAGCGGCAAGCTGCAACTCGCGGCGACTGCGCTCCACAGCAGCACCGACGGAGTGTTGACGACGTTGCACACCAAAGACTCGCCGCAGCGCTCCGTGACCGCCTGGCTCGTCGTGATGCTCACCAGGCGACCCGTCTTTTCAAACGCCTGTTCGAACGTCACGTCTTTCAACAGCGCGCGCAAAGCGTCACAAAAAATCTGCTGGTCGATCACATAGCCGGTGTTGAAAAAGTTTTTCAGCTGCTTCGAAAATTCTGGCGCCAGCTGGAAGTAGGGAACCAAATCGTCCTGGCCCGCGTCGATTAACGCGACGAGTTCTTCGTCTGAGGTGCAGGCCAGCACAGCGGCAATCACGCCGCCGCCGCTCGAGCCGCTGATAACACTCGGCAGCTGCCGGCGCTCAATGAGCAGCTTCAAAATTCCGAGGTGGAACATTGCGAGCGTTCCGCCGCCGCTCAAGCACAGCGCGGTTCTGCCGTGTGTGATACGCAAACTCGACAGAAACTTTCCGTACTGCTCATCCGTGATGCTGCCCAGCTCGCTCGGCTTCAGCTTGAAGTGCGCAGACTCTAAGTAGTCGAGGCCCCGCAGAACCAGACCGTAGTAGCGCTCGACCACAGAGTGCGTCCGCGCGCAGTGCGGCAAGAACAGCTTCGGGTTGCGCAGTCCGCAAAAATTTCTCATGCCGCCGGCAAGCAACAAGTTCATCACTTCAGACGAGTCCCGCGCAGCGAGAGCGTGCGCGAGTTCAACGTTAAAGCGCTCCAGCGCCTCGAAATGCACGCTGGCCCCGCAATTTAATTCAATGAGCGCGTCGAGGTCCGGCCACGCCGCTACTACCTCCGCCTTTACCAGCCACTCCTCATACGAGTTCGCTTTCTGAAAAGATTTTAGCAATACCGCCTCTGAGCGGCCTCGGGGTGAAAATATCGAGCGCAGCAGCAGATACGGCTGCAGCAGCAAAGTATTAACCACAAACTGCAAAAACAAGAGCAGCAACGTGTCCACCGCGATGCGCGTAATCTGGTGCACCAACATCGTCCAGCTCACAAGCCGCAGCACAAGCAAAAACGGGTTCAAGAAACTGTAACTGCGCCTGCAGCGCGCGACCCCTTTCGACATTCCGGAATCCGCGATGCACAAGTCGCTTCAGTCCCGCATCGCGTATCCGTAGTGCAGGCAATTGCTGCACGCCGTTGATCCAGCCGCCGGAAATTATATAATTAATAATCTACGTCCTAAATCTTAACTCAGCTCGCGCCCGATTGTGCGCAAAACGTGCGCCCAACTGGTCAGCGTCCGCACGTCAGTATTGAAACGCGTGTCGCAGAACGCTGCGAGGTTTTTCATACAGTGCAGCACATCTTCTTGCGCGTCTGGAAACTCTTCCCAGTACGCGCCCTCGTGTAGCTGGTAGCAGCACGACACGTCGAGCGTGTAGACGCAACTCGGCGTCAAGCCGTCATCTCCAAACGCGACCAGTATGTTGTATTCATTGAAGTCGCCGTGCACCACGCGAGCATCCACCATGCGTGCCAGCAACTCAAACACCTGCCGCAGCAGCTCGGCCTGCGCCTCAGCAGGCAGCGCGCGGACCGCACGCAGCTGTACACCGCGCAGCAACGACATCTGTACCATGTGGTAACTGCGCGCGACTGGCTGCGGCGCGTTGATCCCCAGGCGCCGCAACAACTGCAAGTTCTCATACTCACGTTTCGCCATATGCGCAGACATGTCCGGCGACTTCTTCGCGCCGCTGCGCTCGCTACGACGTGCAGACATCGAACAGAAGTGTTTGTTGTTGATGCGAAAAGCTTTGACAACGTAAACCTCGCCCGCGTCGCTGGAACAGCCAACGTAAATTTCTGCCTCTTTGCCTTGGCCAATTGAACGAGAGATGCGCATCAGCCGGCTTCGCGCCACCAGCGAGCGCAGCGCGAGCGCATCTTTGCCGTGCAGGCTCAACGAGTAGCACTGCTCATCTCGAATCTTCGCGTAGCCAATGAGCTTGTGCTTAAGCAGCTCCGTTATCACCAAGTTCAAAGGCGCCTTGATTCCGCGCAGCTTCGAGATAGGCACGAAACCTCCGTTCAGCGACTCGGCAGCCAGTTTAGCGAGCACGTCGCAGTGCGAAGCCTTCAAGGTTTTCACAAACGAAACGTCTGGCAGCATCGCGCTCAGCTAACTCACGCTCGCAAAGACTCGCCAAGCGGCAGTTTTGGCTTTAAGTTGCAAAAATAGCGCTCTCAAAAATGGCGCTGTGATTTAGTTTAATCATATTGATCACCTCCTTCGCAGAGGGCCGCGCTGCGGGACTCGGATATGTCAGCTTCAAAATAAGCGAAGTCCAAAATTTCAGCGAAGACTTCCTAAAGCGCGGAGGCAGCTTGCGCTCCCTGCTCAGCCGCTCGATGGCGCGCGAACGCTCGTACGCCGTCGCGAAGCTGCCGTACAGCATCTCGAAGAGAATTATGCCCGCTGCATAAATGTCACTCTTCGCTGAACATTGGTTAGACGGGTCCATGTACGCCGGCGTGCCGCAACGCGAGCCCGACGCCGTGCCCTCCGCGTCGAAAATCAGCTTGCTCAGTCCGAAGTCGACGATCTTTAGCACGTCGTTATCGAAGAGCAAGTTTTCCGGCTTGATGTCACGATGCACCAGCCCTATCTCGTGAATGTCCGCCAAGCCCTGCATCAGCATGCAAAAACAACGCAGAATTTGGCTTAGCTTCAACACTCGTCCTTTCGAGCAGGAGTCGGTTTTTGCGGAAAGGTTCGTTTGAACGCGCGTCGGCTCTGCCACGCAATGCATACCTTCCGCAGGCGACAAGTCGTCTTTCTCAGCAAACCGGAAATCCGAAGAACTCTCATACACCGCAGGCTTGTAAGAGCGGTCGCAACTGCTTAGCGACATGCCGCTCGAGCTTTTCTCCACTTGTGGAATAGGCGAATTTTTGCACGGATCCGCTCCGCGTTTCGCATTTTTGCCGAGCTGCAGTCGACTCACAAATCCGCTTCGCAGCCGAGAACGTTCTCCCCGGCCGCTACTCTGCGCAGAGCAAGGGCTCGCAACAGAAGACTTGTGTGAGCAGGGCTGCTCGCCGCCCAAACATTTCAAATCGTCTTCAAGAAGCACTGTAGAGTTCTGAAGCCAGGAGCGCAGCGTCTCTCCCTCGCACCACTCCATCTGGATAAAAAAACGGATCTTCAGCAACGAAGTGCAGTCTACGTTACCGTTGCTGCGCTTATTCTTAAGGATAACAATCTGGTTTGGCTCTTCCTCAATCCACCAAGTGTAATAGCGCACCACGAAGCGCGAAGCCAGGCTACGGCAGTTAGAGATTTCGCGGAAGAGCAACGGGTTGATGAACTCTTCCGAGCGCACGTCAAGATTCGTCCGGATAACTTTGATCGCGTAAAACAAGTCGCCAGGCTCAAACCGGTGCCTTGCTTTGTAAACCTTCCCGAACGTCCCTGTTCCCGCACAGCCCAAGTTTTTAAACGTGCGCTGAAACCGGTTGTTATCCAACAGCAGCATTAAATGCTTCCGCACCGATGACTCGATGACCTCCGAACCGTCTTCGCGTTGATTCGAGCAGTCGCCGTCCGAGTCGAACTCCGACTTTGATTTGCTTTGAAACTCGCGGTGGATGGCGCCAATGATTGTGCGCACGAGCTTCTCGTTTACCGCCTCCTGAACTACCTTGCTCAAGTCGGAGACTGTGGCTTTGTCTGAAACAGCAGAGCAGTTACAGTCTTCGCTGTGGCTGTTCCGCCTGCAGGACTCCGAGTTTCGCCGAAATGGAAACATATCTTCGTCTTTCACCAAGTGCTTCTTGTGCTGATAAGTGTACGGCCGCAAGCTGTGATCGGGCTTTGCGCATTCAAACAACACTTCCTCACTGAGCTGGCCAATCGACGCGTCGAACATTGGGCCCACGTTCTCAAGCGCGCTATCGCCGCAAGAACAGACTGACGATGTGCACGAACAGTTGTAAATACGGGACTTGTAACGAATTTTCGACATCTCGATGCAAGCGTTCCGCCGTCTCAAAGTAATCCAAAAAGTATGTAGCACGACACACATCGTTAGCAATGTAAACAAAGCAGCGTACATCAAAGTGAGATTGTCCGTGCGGACATTGAACTCTGAGTAGTACTCGTATGTTTGGTATTTTCCTGCCTCGATAGCGTCATCGTCCAATGCCGACGACGAGCGATCGAAAGCGCGCCTGTTGTGCAACATAGGCCGGGTCGGCAGGGGCTCACTCAGCCCCGAAGAAGGGTCCCGCAACAAACCGCTTTCAAACCGCGTCAGCGACTTGTCAACCGCGCTTCCAAAGGCGCTGTCTTCCGTATTGTACGGAGCACGCCGCTTGTTCCCGTACCCGTGCTTCACATCAGAAAGATTGCACGACTTCCCGTCGGAGTAGCGAACGAAAGAGCTTTGCAAATCAAGAGAGCTTGGAAAGTGCGAAGCTTCACCCAGTTTGCGATCAGGAAGCGGCGCGACTGCAGGACTAGCAATCTCAATTCGCGGCACAGCCTCACCACTGGCTCGGTTATTATGCGGAAGCCAGTCTAACTGCGTTTGCTGATACACAAAGGGCATAAAACAGAAGAATCTTTCGTTCAGCAACGAGGAAACCATGCTGGGAAAACCGCTGGAGGTCGGAGTGACGTCAAACATGTCATAGTCTTGGCCGTCCAAGCCCGAAGTGCTCAAGCGCAGCACCGGCTGCACCGCTGTCTGCGCAGTGGGAGCTAGCACGCGCCGATTGAGAAACATTTGATAAGCCGCGTTCTCTACTATGGAGTACGTAGCGTGTATTTCGCCGCTGAAGTTTATTTCGGTTTTCCCGCTCTTCGGCTTCCGAGACTCTAAAACTAAAGCATTCTGCAAGCCGGCGAGTCGGCGCGAAAGCGCGTACTCCATGTTCTTCATGTTGCTGTACTTCAGCAAACTCGCAGCGTATTTTTGCAAAAACTGTACAGTGATTCGCAAAATCTCTGTCTCGTCAATGATAAGCGTTGAGTTCGCGAACTCGAAGGAGTTCGAGTAGTCAAGCTCGCGCAGCATCAATGCCCACAGCGGGTCTACGGCCGAGCGAAAGTCACTTGCAATAGCGCCTGCGCTGTCCGCATAGGTCAACAGTTGCTCGTATACCAGCGACTGCAGCCGCCTGCTGCCATCGTATAGATCCAAGTTGTGTTTGCGGTAAAGAAGCAGCAGCAAACTTTCCGCGGAGTTACGCTGACCAACGGAGCCGTCGAAGCTGTTCAACTCTACGACGCCGCCGATGGAGGCCGACTGCAAGTGCAGAGGCTCAATTAAATAATGCGTCATAGGTGCGCGTTCAACAGCTGCGAAGTAGTTAAGGTCTGTCAAACGTATTACGTCGCGCATGCTGTTTGTCATAACTAAATTAAACTCCGCTCCCGCCAGCAACACAGAAGTGTGCCTGTAAAGGAATTCAGAGACAGCAGCGTGCTGCTCGTGCACAGACAACTTCGCTTGCGAGTCCTGCAGAAACCAATAGTATTCATACAAGAGCTTTACACAGCTTTTCGTGAGTTGCAAAATGAGCCTGTCAGCGAACGGAACACCGAGCTGCGCGAGGTCGACGCGCCAAAGCACTTTGCCCAGCACAACATCTACGAAGTGTGCGTGAGAATCATTAGTGACAACTAAGAGCTAAAGCAGCGCATTTGCGACTTACCTTGCTTGACGACTGCGGCAAGAACAAGTTGTACAGATCAGCAAGCAGCTCAGCCGCCATCATTCATTTTGCGCTGACTCGGCTAGGCAAACCTCGCCAGACGCTTCCCGTTTAGAGAAGGGTTCGAATTTTGTAAATAATGCGAGGTCCATAATCAATTTAAATTAGCTCTAAACGACCTGGGTCTACAACATCTTTGCGCTGCTCGCCTTTAGGGGGCCTTTCAGAGAGCTCGCCGCCGCTGCAACCATGCCGCCGAGCCACGACAGGCCCTGACTGTACACGCTCATCGCCACGAAGAAGCCTAGTTTAAAGTAAATCGGCGGGCCTGCAAACTGCTCATCCGCGAGCACGCTTTCTTTGTCGCTCATCAATCGCAGTTCACCCGGTAGCAACGGCTGCAGAAAATAACGCAAGAGCAATTTTGCTTTTCCGTCGCCGTTGAAAAACCAACAGGGGAAAAAGGCTCTTGGCAGCGCAAGCCGCGGCGGGAGCGCCCCGCCGTTGAAAACGAGCGCGAGCAAGCGCGGCACTGAGTAAAATAATACAAGGCGCAGCAACGCAACCGTGCCGTTCCACGACGGACTCGACGGCGAAAATGCGTTGCGGCTCGCGCGGTTCTTGATTGAAAACTGCAGGCGCTCAGACAGATTCAGCTCTGGAAACGCTTTGGTGCGCCACTGTTCTTCCAGCTCATGCAGCTTAATCGCTGCGTTCTTTTGCGTCTCTGAACCGGCGGGCGCGGTTTTCACGCGCGCTTTCCAAGCCTTGATCTCCGCGAACAGCTCTGAACACCGCGCCAGAGTAGGCGATTCCTTTCTCAAGAACAACGGAGCAGATTCGAACAACAGCGTAACCGCGACTGCCGCAAAGTGCAACGAGAAACTGCACGCGTACAAACTCGCAGCCATGGAAAAAAATCTATATTTCGGCTTCAAAAACAACAATTACAGTCGAAGGGACAGTCTTTAGTTCCGCCTGCCGAGCCAAGCTTCAGTTCCTCCGCCGTGTAGATTTTCCAACCTTCTTCCGTCCGTCGCTGCGCCGTGCCTTTGGTTTCATCAGCCGACTCAGCAGATCGCGCAGCGCGCTTTGTCCTCTGCAGCCCGCTACGGGCCTCGCTCCGCTTCTTCACCGGCCGCTTGACGAGCGCATCATGCGAACTGCCCGCGTCTTTAGTCTGTCGCTTCTTTGTCGTCAAACTAGCGAAAATGTCCTCGGCTTCAGCGAGGAGCTCTCGCCGCCCCTTATGCTTGCCCGCTTTCGAGCCCATTTTATTCGCGGTGCGATTCGCTTCTCCTAAACCGTTCTCCGATGCTGGAGCGGCCATCTAGTGCGAGCTTTCAGCGACCGATTTTCGCACAGTTGTTCTGTCTAAAATATTAAATTTAGAATAGGCAGCGACTATGGCGGGAAGGTCGAAAAGGAACGTGGAGGAATCCATTTCGCAGAAGCTGCAGCTCGTCATGAAGTCTGGAAAGTGCGTTCTCGGACTCAAGCAGACCATTCGCTCACTTCAGCTGCGTAAGGCCCGCTTGCTCATTATCTCCGCCAACTACCCGGCGCTGGTCCGCTCGCAGCTGGAGTACTACGCGGTACTAGCGAAATGCGGCGTGCACATCTACAATGGCAGCAATGTGGAACTCGGGACTGCTTGCGGCAAGCTCTTTCGCGTCGGCTGCATGGCCGTCACCGACGAAGGCGACTCAGACATTGTCAAGTCTATGTAACTTTTTTGCGTTCGATGCTGCTCAGTGCACCTGGTAGACTGCTGCGCGGGTCCGCACGGGACCAGCTGCTCTTTGGCATCGTACCGGCAGCTAACCTATCTAAATCTACTAAATTACAAGGAGCTTGGAGCAGCTGCGATGTCGAATGGCACGTGTCTTCGTCCGCGAACTTGGAGCAACTCACCGAGAGCGTCAGCCGGAACAAATTCGCGCTGTTGTGCTTGAAGTACAGGACGCAGCGCGAACTGCTCAGCGTGCACGGACTCATCGGTGGCGAAGTGGCAGCGTAGCTTTCGTGGGCCACGTCGTTCTGTACGTGCACGATGCGCGCCATGATCTGAAACTCCTTGATCAAGAAAGGTACGTATTCGTATTTCTGATCCGCGGGCTGTGCATCGTTCAGCATCTTGACGACCGCGTTCTGAAAAATGTTGTATTTGCGTTCGACTTCGTGGTCCACTACTATAAGTACCGGCTGGTTCATCTCCCAAAAATCGTTTTTCATGCTGGCTCCGCGAGAATAAACCGTTTTGCTGAAAAATGGGTAGCCATAAACGTCATACTTCAAAACCAGCTTCAGCCGTAACCACGAATACACCACGCGCGAAGCCTCGAAGCAGCGCATGTTGAACCGGCTGATCCACAGCGAAAAACAAATGCTTTTGCGTCGTTCTTCTTCGGCGCACTTTAGCATCAACTCCACCAGCTTCTGCTCGTCTGAGCAAAGCCGGCTAGAGTACAGGCTCAGCAAAGTATCATTCATTGCGGCGCAGCAAAACAAACGCGCCGTAAGCAAGGTGCAGTTGTACCTGCGCCATTACGCAGTAACCTCTGCTTTGATTAGGTCGCGAATGTTAGTTCGGCACATTGGACAGTACACGCTCTTCGCAAACCACGCCTTGATGCACCGGTCGTGGAAGTAATGTAGCTTCGGGTTGCACGGAAGCTGCAACACAGGGTCTTCCATCTCAAAATCACAGCAGCATATTGGACAAGAATCAGACGAAATCGTGACCACAGTATCGGCGCCGCTCTGCGTCTTACTCGTTTCCTTTGCTTTCGCCGCATCTTCACCGCCCTCCTGCGTG